TCCTTTTGCAATCGTTTTAACTTAATCTACTCCACATTCAAACCCCACCGGAGAAAGGGAGAGGAGAGAAGCCGTTCGCAAATTGCTAGCGAGTTAGCGACTAAAGTTCGCTCCACTTGAAGAGAGGCCTTGGGTGGTGTCCAACAACAGCACCAATTATGCCAGTAGAAAGTCAGGAGTTCAAATATGTACAGTCGCTTTCGGGGATATCGTCTCTGTGATTGGTTACAAAGCAGCCTAGGCCCAAATTTCTCATGGTTTTTTCGTTTTAAGACCGTCCAAAACCACAAGACTTTATATCTCCATCCAAGGGGCTAAAATTATTATTTTTTTTTTTGCAAGTCTACCTTATTATGCAATATCTGTGCAGAGAAAGGGAGGGGAGAGGGAGAGAGAGGGGGGGAGGGAGAGAGGGGGGGAGGGGGGAGAAAGAGAGGGAGAGAGAGGGAGGGGGAGAGGGAGAGAGGGGGGAGGGAGGGAGAGAGGAGGGAGAAAGAGAGGGAGAGAGAGGGAGGGAGGGGGAGAGAGGGAGGGAAGGAGAGAGGGGGAGAAAGGGAGGGGGAGAGAGAGGGAGGGAGGAAGAGAGAGGGCAGAGGGAGGGAGGGGGAGAGGGAGAGGGGGAGAGAGAGGGAGGGAGATGGGGAGAGAGGGAGGGAAGGAGGGGGAGAGAGGGAGAGGGAGGGGGAGGGAGGGAAAGAGGGAGAGAGGGGGGGGAGAGGGAGGGAGGGGGAGAGAGGGAGGGAAGGAGAAAGGGGGAGAAAGGGAGGGTGAGAGAGGGAGGGAAGGAGAGGGGGTGAGAGAGGGAGGGAGAGAGAGAGAATGGGAGAGGGAGAGATGGAGGGAGGGGGGAGAGAGAGAGAGAGAGAGAGAGAAAATGCTAGCTTCCAGTCTACTCAGTGCTTTCCTGGCCCTGCCATTATAATTTAGTGCACGCTGACTGCAAGCGACCCTGTACAGCCTGACAATCGTAGCCCAACACAATAAAAATACAACATGTTCTCCTCGTTTTGCACCAAGGTTGGAAAGACATGCGATAAAAATTCAGCACATTTTGTGCTCATTTGGCAGGTTGCGCTGTAGTGATCATCTTGGAGCTAAAACAGATGAGCTCGACATGATGTTCGGAATGTACCATTTCAGACTCGAAAGGGGGGGGCGGTGGGAAGAGAAATGGAGCGATGCTTTTGTGCTTTCAGCAGATAAAAAAAAACATGCATTATGTTGGCCTAGAATTTTCTATTCAGCATGCTAGTTAAGGGTTTCAATTCTAACTCTAACTCCCTACCCATACTTGCTGGAGGGGGAAATGGCACAACCCCAACATGAAGCTTTTCTCCTTCTCATTTAGCCTTCAGACAATGTGGGGCTAGTATTAGTTACTTTACAATCAGACTCTTTAGACAAATCATAAAATGATCTTCCCAACTGCTAGTAACTGCCCTAAACTCAATGCTTACAGAACCAGATTACTAAGTATGCTAACAAATGTACCAAACTCTAATATCCTTCCCCCAAAAAAGTCAACCATTCCAAATGCCCATCTCCTTTAATCATTTTTTTCCCCTGAAGCAGGAAAATAAATATTCCCTCCGCATATAGACTACCAGAAGGGAAACTTCTGAGGAAAACATCTGATTTCTATAGAGAACTTGGTCAAAATACTTAATGCCAGCTGGTTGCAGCACGCATGGGTGTGCCGGCCAGCTGATTTTTGGGCCTTTTGGGCCCACCGGAAGTTGGGAAATGGGCATTTCCGGCCTCCAGAGGGCCTCCGGTTGGGTGTTTTCGCCCTCCCCAGGCTCCTAGAAAGCCTCTGGTGCCTGGGGAGGGCAAAAAGCAGGCCTATTGGGCCCACCGGGCCATCGCGTGCCAAAAGCAGGGAGAGCATTGGGGAGGGATTCACGCGTGTATGCACGGGGGGCGGGGCATATTGAATTATGGGTGTGGGCACGCACGCACGCGACCCTCCCGCGGTCCCCCCACTTTTGGCACGCGACGGCAAAAAGGTTAGCCGTCACTGATCTCGTGACTCCATCCCATTCTGAGCTGCAAACTTTGATTTGCTACAATCTTATCTTCCATTTGTGTCTTTCCGAATTTAGTTGCACATTTCCAAGCCGAAGCGCCTACCATTTTAATCTTCTGATTATGCTTACATGGGCCTAGTGATATTCGTCAATATAGGTAGTCCTCGACTTACGGTCACAACGGAGCCCCAAAATTTTCTGTTGCTCGGTGAGACATCTGTTAAGTGAGCTTTCCCCCGTTTTACAACCTTTCTTGCCACCGTTGTTAAATGAATCACTGCAGTTGTTAAGTTAGGAACACGGTTGTTAAGTGAATCTCGCTTCCCCGTTGAATTTGCTCGTCAGACGGTCGTAAAAGGGGATCACGAGACCCCAGGACACTGCAACCGTCATGAATATGAGTCAGTTGCCAAGGATCTGGATTTTGATCACATGACCATGGGGATGCTGTAATGGTCGTAAGTGTGAAAAACGGTCACAAGTCAGTTTTTCAGTGTAACTTTGACCGGTCACTGAGTGAACTGTTGTAAGTCGAGAACTACCTGTGCTGTAAATGAAAAAATGAATATCCTATGCATTATAAGTATTGCAAGATTTTCACAGCAGGGTTTTTTTGTAATGTCTTTTAACACTTCTAATTTTCCCACAAGTCATCTGGAAATAAAGATGATTCAGCTGTCCCTCAATATCACAAGCTAGTGAATAATCCCATATCACAACCGATGCACAAATGTGAGGGTTGGAAAGTAGAAATAATGCAGAAAAGTTCAATTCTGAATATCTAGAGCTTGAAAGGGGCTTTTCTTTTCTTTTCTTTTCTTTCTTTCTTTTTTTTTTTTTTTTGATGTCACAAGAAGTATTCCAGACTTCTAAAAAATGTTTGGAGCTTGTCCCAAAGGTGCTTTTTCAACTGGACTTTCTTGGTTTTTTGTTGAAGACGTTTCGCTTCTCATCCAAGAAGCTTCTTCAGTTCTGACTGAATCCTACTGTTCCCCACTATGCCGTCAGAACTGAAGAAGCTTCTTGGATGAGAAACGAAACGTCTTCACTGAGAAACTAAGAAAGTCCAGTTGCCTCTTGAAGAGAATCTGCACAGAATCTCCTACAAGCTCCATTTGGAGCTTGTAAGAATTCACTTTCAAAAACTACCCTGCAATAGGATGAAAAGCTGTATAGTCAGAGCAGCCCATTTTCGACACTAGATTCCAAACATTTTTCACACTTCCAACAATAAACCATAATAATCACAGGATATACATTCTGGAGAACATACTTTGCCTTTCAGATTAGCATTCCATGAAGGAATAGATAGATCAGAATAAAAAAAAAACACTTTTAATTTCACATTTGTTTCTCCTGTTTGCCCCAGATAGTACAACTAGGCCTCGACTTACAACTTACAATTGGGATCAGAATTTCTGGTCTTAAACAGTGGTTGGTAATTGAGTTTTGCCGATTTTATGCCTTTTTTTGCCACAGTTGTTAAGTGAGTTACTGCAGTTGTTAAGGGAATCAGTAGGTCGGTAAGCAAATCCAGCATTTCCCATTATCTTTGCTTGTCAGAAGCCAGCCAGGAAGATCACAATTGGCAATAGCAATTGCATTTAAGACTTATATGCCGCTTCACAGTGCTTTACAGCCCTCTCTAAGCAGTCAGCCTATTGCCCCCAATAATCTGGGTCCTCATTTTACCCACCTCGGAAGGATGGAAGGTTGAGTCTACCTTGAACCAGTCAAGATTGAACTGCTGGTAGTTGGCAGAGTCAGCCTGCAATACTGCATTCTAACCACCACGCCACTACAGCTACCTTCCTTCCTTCTCATTTCCCTCCCTCCCTCCCTCCCTCCCTCCCTCCCTCCCTTCCTTCCTTCCTTTCCTTCCTTCCTTCCTTCCCAAGCAATAGCACTTAGACTTATACACCGCTTCTACAGCCCTCTCTAAGCAGTTTTACAAAGTCAGTCTATTGCCCCCAACAATTTGGGTCCTCATTTTACCAACCTCTGAAGCATGGAAGACTGAGTCAACCTTGAGCCGGTCAGGATCGAACTGCTGGCAGTGGGCAGTCAGCCTGCAATACTGCGTTCTAACCATTGCGCCAATCGCATGACCTGAAATGTTGCAACTGTCGTAAATACATGCCAGTTGCCAAGTACCTGAGTTTTGATCACGTGACCAAAAAGGATGCTGCGACGGTTGTTAAGTGGAAGAACTGCTCATTGGTCAATTTTCCAATGTCATCGTATCTTCGAATGAGCGCTAAAGAATGGTTGTAAATCAAGGACTACCTGTACATCCTGTTGTGACCTAGGCTTCCTGAGTCATTAAAACACACGAATAGTCCCAAAAACCTCTTTTATTGCAACAGCTGTGAATTACGGTCATTCACAGCTGAGTTCCAATTAGTTGCAAAAAGTCCTTCGGAAGAAGTCCTTTGGGATAGTCACCAACCTTTATCTCCCTTGACACGCTGCCAAAGACCTACTTGGCAAAGCCACACGGAGTCCAGAACCAAACAGAGATGCCGACTGGGAACAGAATTAACAACGTTGCTTTCCTGCAAAGGGCCCACATGCCTTTGCTCCTCTTTTAAGCCTTATGGGAGGGGCAATCATCTCCAGGCCTTACTCCAGAGTCGTCCCTTTAATTTTAACTGTTCTTTCCTTCTGGCAGCTCTGCGCATGCGCGCACTAGGAACAGGCTCCTCCTGTTTCTCTGCTTCTCTGATATCCGACTCTGGAGGCTCAGGAGTTCACGCATAACTCCCAGATGGCCCTGGCCCCATCTCTGCCTCCGACGCAGAGCCCTCGTCCGAGCCTTCCCCAGACTCCAGGACTGGCCCATGTCCCTCCCCAGCCTCCTCACTGTCCGACTCCGCTGCCAGCTCTGCGGGCTGCTGGCAGACCACAACACATTCTTTGAATAAGCTCCTCTCTCTCACCCTACCTTATGCCTCAATGGGATAAAATACTTACTGTCCAACCTCATGGAGAATGGGTGCCGGACAGAGCATGAAATTAGATTCCACTTTTTCTGGTTTTACATCTAAAAAAACCAAACAAAAGACAAAAAAACATATATTGTATAATCGGATAATATCTGCTTATCAACAAAGATGATAAAACTGTGTTGTTTCTCTGTGTCATATAATATATGTGGGTATATGCCAGTGGTGAAATCCAAATTTTTTTACTACCAGTTCTGTGGGCATGGCTTTGTGGGTGTGGTGTGGTGTGGTGGGCGTGGTGTGGCTTGGTGGGTATGGCAGGGGAAGGATAATAATAATAATAATAATAATAATAATAATAATAATTATTATTATTATTATTATTATTATTATTATTATTATTATTATTATTATTATTATTTCTATAGCGCCCTTCTCCCAAAGGACTCAGGGCGGTGTACAGCCTATTAAAAACACAAAAAATATACAGACATCAATTAAAAAATAATTAAAATTACTAAATAATTTCGGCCCAAATTAAAACCCAAAAATTTAAAACACCCAATTTAAAATCATTTACATGATAATAATGCAAAATCTCTATTCCCTTCCCTCCCCAGGGGAAGGATTCTGCAAAATCTCCATTCCCACCCCACTCCAGGGGCCAGCCAGAGGTGGCATTTGCCGGTTCTCCAAACTACTCAAAATTTCCGCTACCGGTTCTCCAGAACCTGTCAGAACCTGCTGGGTATACCCACATGCATACTTTTTAAATTTTATTTATTTATTGATTGATTCATTTAGTCATGTTTATGCAGTGTATATTGGAGGTGGTGACCCTTTGAGAGCTGTACGCAACGGAATTTCATTTTAATGTATGCCGATTAGTGTACTTTCAAAGTGACAATAAAGTTATTCTAGAGCCGTGATGGCGAACCTATGGCACACGTGCCAGGGGTGCACCTAGAGCCCTCTCTGCTGGCACACGCATGTCAGATCTCCGTGGCGTTTCTTTCGTGAGCTTCTGTTTCCCTGCAAACGATGAAACAGAAGGTTGCGAAAGAAAAAGATCTTTACCTCTTGCGTCTGAATTTGGATCACTTGATCATGGAGATGCTGCAACCGTCATCATTGTGAATAATGGTCGTAAGTTCCTTTTTTTCCCCAGTGCTGTTGTCACTTCGAATGTTCATTAAATGAACGGCTGTAAGTTGAGGTCTATATGTACTCTGACGACTCAAGTGCTCTGTGCTGTAGGGATACTTACTCATGGTTGTTCCATTCACCATAAAACTGCAGACGACGCTATCGCGTGTCCTACCCAACGTGAATCCTGTTCCGCTGAGAACGACTTGGAACTCCTCTGAAAAGCAGAACCAACAAATCATCAGCCAGTGGACCAGGGGTGGGTTCTAATTTTTTTTACTACAGGTTCTGTGGGCGTGGCTTATTTTGTGGGTGTGGCTTGGAGGTCATGTGACCGGGTGGCCATGGCTATATGTATAGGGACTACTCAGAGGGCTGAAGAGAGTCATTTCTGGAAGGTCCTCGCACTTACGACCAGTCCTCGCACTTACGACCCAACTCATTTGTTTGCTTTTAACACTGATCAGCTGTAGGGCGGCCCTTTGAAGCCCCACGGCAAGAGTTTAAACAGTTTTTTCCCCTCTAGTCATCAACTGGGACTCAGGAGGCAGCAATAGATTGGGGGTGGGGCCAAATAAAAGGTAAGAATAACGTGTGTGGGGGGGTGGGGGAGGGCGGGGGGGGAGAAACGGTTCGGTGACGTCATATCGTCACCGCTACCGGCTCGGCCGAACCGGACCGAACTGGGAGGAACCCACCCCTGCAGTGGACGTATGCCACGTTTCCTTACTGACTTTTGACAGCAAAATAAACTCTTTTAATATTTTATACTCATGTGTTTGATGGTGTTTATACTTAATGCCTACGATTTTGGAAAGAAAGGAGAAGACGTTAAGAAACTCTTGTCCTAGTAAAGCAGCTGGAGAATGTTGGAAGAAATGTCCATCTGGGTTCAGTTCCAAGTGGGGAGAAAGGCACTGGAAACATGGAGGCTGATTGGAAAGATGGTTTAATGGTGGACAGGACCACATGGTCTGAGGCAGTGGTGAAATGTAAAATTTCTTACTACCGGTTCTGTGGGTGTGGCTTGGTAGGAGCGGGGGTAATGTGACTGGGTGGGCGTGGCCAACTTTTTTTTTTTTTTTTACTTTTAAAAGCATTTTTTTCTACAACCTTAAGAGGTTGCAGAAAAAAATGCTTTTAAAAGCCTCTGACGATCAGGCAACTCAGCTGGGATCGTCAGAGGCTTTTAAAAGCCTCTGACGATCCCAGCTGAGCCATGCGATCATCAGAGGCTTTTTTTTTTTTTTACTTTTAAAAGCATTTTTTCAGCCGAAGAGGTTATAGAAAAAATGCTTTTAAAATTTTTTTTAAAAGCCTCTGATGATTGCGCGGCTCAGTTGGGCATGGGCAGGGCGGGCAGGGATTTTTTCTACCGGTTCTCTGAACCACCCACCGCCATCGCTACCGGGTCGGGCGATCCGGTCTGAACCGGGAGCATTTCACCCCTGGTTTGAGGTCCTGGGCAAAAAAGCACATGGGGGGGGGGGGAGAGAGAGAGATTTCTACCCTCTGTTGGGCTTTGAATTTGAGCTTGTATTCTGATTGGTTGTCAGACTCCCATGGGATCATGCAGGGGTAACTTTGTAAGTTGTCTTTTGAGTCCCAGGCCTGGTTGAATCTTGCTGGGTGATGATGTAATGAAGCAGGTTTTGGGCAATTCCTATTATGGCTGAGGGCTAATCCTACCTTTGTTGGATCTGGGGTGAGGGCATTTGCTTATGAATAGACCTAGCTATCTCTTTATCTCTTAAGTGCTGACATCTGCTGTGGGCTATTGAGAATGTGGGGGCTATTAAGAGTGAGTTTGCTTCCTGCCCAAAAAAAAACATGTTTCTCCATTTCTCACCCAGGGAGGTATAATATTCTGCCTTTGTAATATTTCCTAGAATATTTCATTTTTCTAGGAGAAGGGTGGGTGCTAACTTCCTACAAGAAGGAGGGAAAGAGTGGGAGGTCAGTTGATATATATATCCCCAGTGATAATTCTTTTCACCAAATTTCCCAATGAATTTTGAGAGGGTGTAATTGGGATTCCAGATGTGTTTATCCAAACCATCCTTTTCTTAATGTCTCTCTTTGTTTAAATTGGAAAAACAAGAGAGACACAATCTGTAGCCCTCTTCCAGTAGTTGTCATTAAAATTATATATTTTAAATACAATAGAAATGGTAAATTATTTAACTCAATAGGGAATAATTATTAAACATAATCATATGGACTGATTTCAATTTAAAATAAATTAAATCAAGTTTACTCAGGAGCTTTTTTTTTTTTGGCTCTACCACAAAAGCCAAGTATAGGTCACCTTTGACTCACAACCACAATTCAACCCAAAATTTCTTTTGCAAAGCAAGACAGTTCTGAAGTGAGCTTTGCCCCATTTTATGACCTTTCTTGCCACAATTGTTAAATGAATCGCTACAGTTGATAATGTCAACTCGAATGATTTCTACAGCACATGAAAGTGCTCTGTTGGAGAATGTGATTTATGACACACCCTGGGAGGACGGGGGTGGGGGGGAAACAGGGTAATAGTTGGGCCGTAAATTACGTGGGGCGGAGCTGACTTCACTGGGGTATGTGCCGACATGTTGCTCCTAATAAATAACTGGATTTCTTTTGAAACTTGGCTCCAGGCTCATGATTTAATTAGGGCATCCATTGGAACTCTGACATTAGTAACACGGTTGTTAAGTGAATCGGACTTCCCCACGATTGGGGACTTTGCTTGCCAGAAGGTGATCATGTGACCCCCAGACACTGCAACTATCATAAATACCTGTACATGCCAGTTGACAAGTGTCAGCTACGTGACTATGAGGATACTGCAAGGGTCATAGGTGTGAAAAACGTTTTTAAGTTACTTTTTTCCCACCATTTTAACTTGGAACGTCTGCAGTTTTGTACAGACTTTGGCCTAAAAATGTTAGTCCACCCTTGAGGTAAAATATGCAGCCTCTGAAAACACTCTCCTGCCAAGCTTCACGTTGGCAGTGAACAATTTAAAATGAAATTTTCCATTCAGACTAAATCATCCCAGGTGCTTTTTTTCAAGAGGCAATTGGACTTTCTGTTTTTTTCTTTGAAGACTTCTCATCCAAGAAGCTTCTTCAGCTCTGACTGGATGGTGGGAAATGGAAGGATTTATACTCCTTGCAGACAGCTGGTCATTTGCATCCTTTAAGAGAGTCGTTGAGGCCACTTGGAGGTTTCTAGGTGATGCCGTATCCTTCCCCCTCTGTTGAGAGAGGGCTGATCCATTTTGACATAGATGGCCTCTTTAACCCCTCTTTCAAACCAGTGAATGATGACACAGATAAACCCCCAGGAGACCTTAAAAGGTAAAAGGTTCCCCTCACACATATGTGCTAGTCGTTCCCGACTCTAGGGGGCAGTGCTCATCTCTGTTTCAAAGCCGAAGAGCCAGTGCTGTCCGAAGACGTCTCTGTGGCCATGTGGCAGGCATGACTAACACGCCAAAGGCGCACGGAACGCTGTTCCCTTCCCACCAAAGGTGGTCCCTATTTTTCTACTTGCATTTTTTACGTGCTTTCGAACTGCTAGGTTGGCAGAAGCTGGGACAAGTAACAGGAGCTCACCCCGTTATGCGGAACTAGGGATTCGAACTGCTGAACTGCCGACCTTTCGATCGACAAGTTCAGCGTCTTAGCCACTGAGCCACACCGGGTGGTATTTAAGTATATAAGTGCTATTTCTATAGTTAGCGAAATCTTGGGAAGCATTTTGAGAACTCTGCTATGCCTTCTAGATTAGGGGTCCCCAACCCCCGGTCCATGGACCGGCAGTGGGTCGCGACATGCCAGAAACTGGGTTGCGCAAACAAACGAAGCCTGTTGTGGCCTGTTGGCCACTGGACCCTCCAGCAGTCGAATCAGAGGAGGAGAAGGCGTGGGAGTCCGGGTCAGCATCAAGGCAACCTGAGAGCTCCGAGGGGGAAGCGGGAATGGAGCTGGCAGAGAGAGAGAGAGAGAGGCGGAGCCTGGGCCATCTGTCAGCCCTCAGATAGGGAGTCACTAGGCACTAGGGATTTGAACCACTGAATTGCCGCCCTTTCGATCGACAAGCTCAGCGTCTTAGCCACTGAGCCACTGTGTCCCTCCAGGAGACCTTAACAACCCGCTAAAAGAATGCAAATGTCCAAAGAGCCTTGGTAGCGCAGCAGACTAAAGCACTGTTAAGTAACACCAGCTGCCTGCAATTATTGCGAGTTCAAATCTCACAAGGTTCAAGGTTGACTCAGCCTTCCATCCTTTCGAGGGAGGTAAAATGAGGACCCGGTTTGTGGGGGCAATAAGCTGACTTTGTATAAAAAAAGAACACCGCTTTGGGGGGGGGCGAAAGCCCTACTAAGCAGGTAAATACAAAAGTATGAAGGCTATTGCTTAACGCATTGTAAGCCGCCCTGAGTCTCCAGAAAAGGGCAGCATATAAATTGAACCAATAAATAAATAAAATAAATAAATGTCTGCAAGGAGTATGAATCCTTCCATTCCCCACCATCCAATCGCTGGATATTCCATAGGTGTTTTTTAACTTGCTCTGGTCTTTGACTGTAAATAAACATTGATTTGACTTGACTTTAAACATGGAAAGAGGAATCAGGGGAAGAAGAGATGAAAATCCACGCTCTTAAGCACGAAGACTTTTATGAATTAAAACCAATTTTACAAAGAGCCTGGCTCAAGAATACTCAAGAGGAAATGGAACAAGTCAGTTCAATCACTCACTCCATCATCAACAGCCCATCAAATCGAGAACTTGTGAAATCAGGTTCGTGAATTAGAAACAGCTGTTCCAGCCCTTTTCATTTCTTTTTCTGCAGTAATCCTCATATTTCACATTTTGGTCAGGAAATATCACTAAATATCCACGAAAAGACTAGATAATAATTTCTAGCAGTTATTGCTAGAAATTATCAATAGAATCAAAGCTGTTTCACTAATGACCCAAATTCATTTCTCTTAGTGAAAATAGGTTTCCTGCCTAAGAAGGGCGTTGGACTAGTAGACCTCCAAGGTCCCTTCCAACTGTTCTGTTCTGTTCTGTTCTGTTCTGTTCTGTTCTATTCTATTCTATTCTATTCTATTCTATTCTAAAAAGGATTAGTTTTTAAGATAAAAATAAAACTAATAATTAAAAAAGTAAACAAATGAATAAATTAATTAAAAGGAAAACAAATAAAACACAAATAAACTCAAAGGGCAGACTGGATGGACCACTAGGCCTTTTTCTTTTGTCAGTTTTCTATGTTTCTGTTTTTGAAACATTTTCAAAATGTTTAAAGGGAAGCAAACTTTTTAAAAGGAACACCACTACATTTCCAAAACTAAAATCCCTCCTGCCAATTAACCAGCATTCTCATCCTTCTGGTAACTGATATTGGAAAACTACATATCTTTTGAGAGTGTCAGTATTAATTCACCCAATGAAAGGCCCAGATTTCAGCTCAACTCTTGTTCATCCCATTTCATTTACACAGCTGTGACAAGAAACTGTCCCTCGTGATCTGAAGTCTCCCCACATTTCCCGGAACCCACCGCATTTAATGGCAGCTAATTCAAAGGGAAATGCTAGCTGAGGCAAGAAGTTTACTGAATGACAATGGGAAGTCCTTACAGTTAGTCCTCAACTTATGAACAGTTGCTTAGCGACCAAAATCACAGCAGAGCCTTCCAAAGGTACAAGTAATCCTTGACGTATGACCACAATTGAGCCCAAAATTACTGTTGCTAATTGTTGTGGCCCCGCCCTCTGAGCCTATCTCATCGGAGGAAGAAGGCTCCGAACATGAGGAAGAGGAGTCAGCCAGGCCTCCCTCTCCAGGCCCCTCCCCTCTGGCACTGTCTCAGGTGCCGGCCGAGGGAGAGGAGATTAGCCAGGAGCCAGGTGTCTCGGATGAGAGCGAGGAAGGAGAGTCGTTGTTCCTGGATGCACGCCAACGAAGGCGTGATAAACGGTTGCAGCAGTTAAGGAGGCGTGCTAGGGATTAGAACTGAGTCACTGGACCACACCCCAGAGACTATATAAGAGAGGGTGGTGGCTGGTAAAACTCCGTGAACAAAAACTAACTCTGGCTAGTCACTTGAACAACGTCTGAAGCTGCCGAAGGGATATTGTTTTGCTGGACTATTTGCAATGCGTACGTAATTTTATGTTATCTGTTGCAGTAAAGCCTCTTGGCAGACGGTGCTTATATTGTTGCCAAGTTTGAGATAACGACCTGTGTGCGTGCCAAGTACTTTCTTAACCCTCGGCTGGCTGTGTTTGTTTGTGTGTGTAGACGGGGACAGATCACTAATCAAGACAGTTGTCAAGTGAGTTTTGCCCCATTTTACAACCTTTTTTGCCACAATTGTTAAATGAATCACTGCAGCTGTTAAGTTAGTAACACGGTTGTTACGTGAATCTGGCTTCCCCGTTGTCTTTGCTTGTCAGAAGGTAAGAAAACGTGATCACATGACCCTGGGATACTGCAACTGCCATAAATATGAAGCCAGGCATCTGAATTTTGATCATATGAGGGATGCTGCATGGGGATGCTGCAACAGTGTGAGAAATGGTCCTAAGTCACTTTTTTCAGTGCCATTGTAACTTCGAACGGTCACTACACAAACTGTTGTAAGTCAAGGACTACCTGTATTTTCAGTTTTCAGCAAAAATGGCCCACAGCAAACAATGGGCTTGTTTATGATTGCAGGCTTAACATCCACAACAAAAAAAGGTTATAAAATAAAATAAATAAAAATAAAAGGTTATAAAAATGGGTTTGGTCACATAGTGATCTCTTTACGACCGTCACAACTTATGACCGTAATGGGCAGGCTCCATTATGGTCACAAATCAAGGACTACCTGTAGACTTTGGTTCAGCCTGTGCCAACTTGGTGCTCTCACCAGCTGTGTGGACTTCAACTCCCAGCATTCTCAGCAAAGACCAGGCTGAAGACTTGTGAAAATGCAGATCAGTGTTTCTCCACCTTAGCAGCTTGAAGATGGATGCTTGGAGAATTCTGGGAGTTGAAGTCCACCCATCTTCCAACTACCAAAGTTGAGAAATACAGACATACATTGTGCTCCCAGGGGAGAAAAGGTACTTTAGCCTTTTTATTTCACAAAATTATTGAGGAGAAAACTTAGAAAAGACGTTGATTATAATTCAGAAAATCCTAAATACCTAATAAAATCTCCCCAGGTTGTGTCCCACCACATACACAATACAATATTATCATAAATATGCCTTCCTTTTAAATCTACAACTTCCAAAATTCCTGGAGAGGAAACTGTTAAGAGTTTAAATCTGTTAACACAGACTTTGGCAAACTGGAAGCAAGGAAAGGAAAGTTCCTTTCATTCACATCTTCCTACTCAGCATATGGAAGTACAGTTACACATTTTGCCCAAGGATGTAACAGCAGGATTGTCAATATTTTCACATTGTTTTCCAGTCGCACACTCACCTCCTACACAAACGCTTGAGGGTTCCAGATTTAAGATTTCCGTGCACGATTGCTTCAGTATCTGTTTGGGGGGAAAACGGGGAAAAATATTTTTGACAAATGTATATTATGGGTTTTTTTTTTTTTTCAAGGCAACAAGAATTCCATTTCGAGGAATTATTTTAGCAAGATGCTGCAAAGTGCGATACCTGTTTATGTAGAGCAGGGGTGTCAAACTCAAGATCCGGCCCGCAGGGTGCTTAGATCTGGCCCTGAAAACAGCAAAGGACCGGCCCACAGTGCCTCTGTCAGAGAAAACGGAGCTCCCAAGCTCCGTTTTCGCTGGCAGCGGGTTGCAGGAGGCCGTCACAGCTGAAAACGGAGCTCGAGAGCCCGTTTTTGCTGGCGGAGTGCTCGGGCCACCACAGGCGCCCCAACACGAGTGATGTCAAGCTGACCACACCCACTTTGGCCACACCCACCTTGGGCACACCTGACACCCTGCCCACCCCCAAGGTCAAACATACCCTGATGCGGCCCATAATGAAATCGAGTTTGACACCTCTGAGGTAGAGGTTGTTAGATTGTGTCCTCATTTGAAAAAGAAATTCATAGACATCGTGGATCCGGACATTTATTATTTATGATTTAGCCTGCCTTCCGTAGAAGACCCATATATTGTGTGGGTCAGAAGGAGGGCTGAGAAATAGCCCTACAGACCTCTCACTTCTTCGAAATAAACTGTTTCAACCACACCCTTCGGGACGCCGCTATAGGGCATTGCATGCCAAAGCAACTAGACATAGGGACAGTTTTTTTCCCTTGTGCCATCACTTGGCTGAACATTTAAATCTCTAAATTCTATTTACCCACGTTGTATCGCCATAGTATTATTATTATTATTATTATTATTATTATTATTATTATTATTATTCTTTTTGGAATGGAACGGAACGGAACGGAACGAACAGAACAGAACAGAACAGAATTCTTTATTGGCCAAGTGTGATTGGACACACAAGGAATTTGTCTTTGGTGCATACGCTCTCAGTGTACATAAAAGAAAAGATACGTTCATCAAGAATCATAAGGTACAACACTTAATGATAGTCACGGGCAACAAATAAGCATTCAAATCATACTAGGAAACAATCAAATTTATCTTCCTTACAATCCCCTCTTATTGGTATTATTATGATGATGATTACAGGTAGACCTCAACTTACAACCACAACTGAGCCCAAAATTTCTGTTGCTAAGTGGGACTTTTTAAAGTGAATTTGCCCCATTTTATGACCTTTCTTGCACACAGGTGTTAAATGAATCACTGGAGTTCTTGTCAGAAGGTCACAAAAGAGGATCACATGACTCCAGGACACTGCAATGATCATAAATATGAACCAATTGCCAGGCATCCTGTGACCATAGGGATGTTGCCATGGTCATAAGTGTGAAAAACGGTCATAAGTCACTTTTTCAGAGCTGTTGTAACTTTAAACACTCACTAAATGAACTGTTGTAAATCGAGGACTACTTGTACTTAAGTTTGGGTTCCCTGTGAGACTCTCCCCTAAATACCGTGTGAGCATCAATCACTACCAGATACAGTATAGGTGGTACCTTGCTCAATAGTAGTAACTGTGAGGGGGATCTTGGAGTCCTAGTGGACAACCATTTAGATATGAGCCAGCAGTGTGCAGCAGCTGCTGAAACAGCCAGCACAGTTCTAGGCTGCATAAACAGAGGGATAGAATCAAGATCATGTGAAGTGTTAATACCACTTTATAATGCCTTGGTAAGGCCACACTTGGAATACTGCATCCAGTTTTGGTCGCCACCATGTAAAAAAGATGTGGAGACTCTAGAAAGAGTGCAGAGAAGAGCAACAAAGATGATTAGGGGACTGGAGGCTAAAACATACAAAGAGCGATTGCAGGAACTGGATATGTCTAGTTTAATGAAAAGAAGGACTAGGGGAGACATGATAGTAATCTTCCAATATCTCAGGGGTTGCCACAAAGAAGAGGGACTCAAACTATTCTCCAAAGCACCTGAAGGCAGGACGAGAAGCAATGAATAGAAACAAATCAAGGAGAGAAGCAACCTAGAACTAAGGAGAAATTTCCTGACAGTGAGAACAATTAATCAATAGAACAACTTGCCTCCAGAAGTTGTGAATGCTCCAACACTGGAAATTTTTAAGAAGATGTTGGATAACAATTTATCTGAAGTGGTGTAGGTTTCCTGCCTAAGCAGGGGGTTGGACTAGATTCTGTTCTTACCAATGAAAGGATTTGTAATAAGCACTTGAAAACAAGCCTCAATCTGACTCTGAATAGAGGGACTGCCATGTTTCCTGTCCTTAATCTGACTGTATTTGCTAATTCCTGTTGCAATGACAGGAAGTTGGTTGCAACCACAATTACAACATTTCCCAGGATTTCAATTTCCTTTTTAGCATACACATGCTTACAGATGTTAGAAGTACATTTTTAAAAACTGTATTTACATGACTCTTGCCATCTTTACCTCAAAGAAAGACAAGCCTTAATTATGTCGTTTTTTTTTAAAGAAAAAAAATAGTAGTATATTTGGATCACCAAGACGTCTGCAGTTTACAGTAAAAGTACATTTCAATTCAAACTCAGTACATTATGCTTAAACTAATTGATAAATAGAAACTAAGCAAATAAAAACAAGTAAACAAAAACGAAAATAGGCAATTAAAAGTTTGTTTTAAAAGATGTGTTTTAAAAGTCAATATAAATTATTTTAAAAATATCAGGACCCTCCTCTTTGGAAAGAATGCATTCCAGACCAGTTTTTAAGAAGATGTTAGATAACTGAAGTAGTGTTAGATGTTAGATTTGTCTGAAGTAGTGTAGGGTTTCCTGCCTAAACAGGGGGTTGGACTAGAAGACCTCCAAGGTCCCTTCCAACTCTTCTATTCTATTCTATTCTATTCTATTCTATTCCATTCCATTCCATTCCATTCCCTTCCATCCTTTTCATTTTTTCTATTCTATTCTATTCTATTCTATTCTATTCCATTCCATTCCATTCCATTCCCTTCCATTCCATTTTTTCTATTCTATTCTATTCTATTCTATTCTATTCTATTCTATTCTATTCTATTCCATTCCATTCCATTCCATTCCATTTTTTCTATTCTATTCTATTCTATTCTATTCTATTCCATTTTTTCTATTCTATTCTATTCTATTCTATTCTATTCTATTCTATTCTATTCTATTCTATTCTATTCTATTCTATTCTATTCTAATTCTCCAGCCATTCTATTCAAGGACCTGGATAGCAAGAGAGACCCCAAGTGATTCTGGCAAAAGAAAGTCTGATGAGTGTGTGTGTGTGTGTGTGTGTGTGTGTGTGTGTGGTGTTGCTGCTGTTTTGAGTGTTCACACACACATACACAGTGAGCTCAGCTTCTGACTGTGTCAACACAGGATTGTCAACTCCAGCCGATACCAATCCTGCATATTCCACCAATCACAACATCAATCAATGTTTATGTGGTGCGCACACAAACACCCAGCCGCCTTCCTCCAAAATTGGCAATGTCAATTTATATAATATTAGTTGAATTAATCACTGCTAATTAAAATTCATGGCCTATAAAACTAGGCACCCCATTGATAAAAAAAGGGGGCCACAGATCTCATTACATTTTACTTTCCACTTGTAGCAGAAAGAAACGACTTTAAGAGAGGAGGAAAATATTCTTTGTCAAGATCATGGATACTAGCTGCCATTTAAGAGAAGTAGAATATAGATTTGATGTAATGGGTCTTAGGAATGAGGAATATATATGAAATATTGATTGTTAAAATGACGAAGATTTGGAATGGTGTCTATTTGGAAATAATTGTTTAGAATTTTGGGTGATATAATAGAATGATAAATGATAAGTGATTCTCCTGAGCTCCGTTTTTGCTGGCAGAGAGTTGCAGGAGGCCGTCGCAGCCAAAAACGGAGTTCAGGAGCCCATTTTTGCTGGCAGAGTGCTCAGGCCATCACAGGCGCCCCCCCGACACGAGTGATGTCGAGCTGGCCATGCCCACCCTTGCCATATCCACCCCAGCCCCCCCAAGGTCAAACACAACCCTGATGCAGCCCTCAATGAAATCGAGTTTTAACAGTAACAGAGTTGGAAGGGATCTTGGAGGTCATATAATCCAACCCCCTGCTCATGCAGGAGACCTGTACTAGGGATTCGAACCGCCGAACTGCCGACCTTTCTGATCGAGAAGCTCAGTCTCTTAGCCACTAAGCCACCTAGTCAGGTTTGACACCCCTGGCCCAGAGAGTGTCGTAAAGCACCTTGGGGCTCTATATAAACCTAAATGCTATTGCTGTTTACAAAGGCAAAAATGGATAAGCCAATTTCCCTGGCTTTTTGAGAGTCAAGGCCCATTCATCCGTCTGGCTTTAAGTTTTAAGCTTTAAGAGCCTTGGTAGTACAGTGGTCTAAGGCACCCTGTTATTAAGCTGGTTATTAAGACCAGCTGTCTGCAATTACTGTAAGTTCTAATCTCCCCAGGCTCAAGGTTGACTCAGCCTTCCATCCTTTCTAAGGTAGGTGAAATGAGGACCCAGTTTGTGGGGGCAATAAGCTGACTTTGTATAAATATACAAAAGGATGAAGGCGATTGCTTAACGCATTGTAAGCCGCTCTGAGTCTCCGGAGAAGGGCGGCATATAAATCAAATTAAAAAAAAAAAAAAAGTTAAGACCAACTCTCTTGAGGAAGAGTTTTCAAACCATCATATTAAAAGGCAGCTTCCTGTTTGATACACCAAGGCAGGGGGAAAGCTGGCCAGATAACAACAAAAATGCACACAGCTGATCCGTTCGTTGCCAAAAGTTACATTTAAAAGGGTTTTATATATACTGTAAGGCCATTACAGGAGAGCAAAGCATTTGGGCAACGCGCCATAAATCGAAGCTTATCAGTAAACTCTCTTGAGTGAACGCTGCAAAAAGTGAGCGGAAGAACCGATACCACCTTCGTTTCCTGTATTAAATATAGAGACTTCTACTTCTTATGTACTCGCTTGCCAAGCG